TGGGATCCTGCACCAACATGGAAGGCCTAGAAGAAAAGTCCAGGCTCCTGGCTCAGCTCCAGCTTTGCAGCCAACTGGGAAGTGAACCAGCACATGGAAGACCTCTCCCTCTCTTCTCAGTGTGAATCTGCCTTTCAAGTAATAAATAAATCTTTTTCAGAGATGATTAGATGGGTCCGTGAGCTCCAGGGACAGGGGGCCCAGCAGGGCCCACGTTGCTTGGCCCAGGCTCTTTGTCCTGCCTCAGGTGGATGCTGGGTCCATGAGCCTGAGGGGCTGTGGGGTCCGGCGGAGCACAGGTCACCTGGCCCAGATCCTTGGGCCCGCCTGTGAGGACTGGGTCTCAATGTAAACGATGGACGGCAGACCTTGGTGCATACAGAGAACATGGAAGCTGACTGGCGCCTGCAGAGGACACCTGGTACCACAGCAAAGGAAGGAAAACAGAACAAATTGGACAACTACTCCAGCCAAATGATGACAGCAAAAACTGGGGAGGACGGAGACTCTGAAGTCCACTGTGTCAGCCAATGGTTCCCTCATCCTGGATGCTGAGATCAACAGCATTTCAGAACTACTGCAACCACTGAAGAACCTGGGTGTTTTCTGCCTTTTGTGACTTCTGCCTTAATTGATTGGCTGGGGGCTGTGTGAACTCCAGGCCTGGCAGTCTACTGACACCCGACAGGACACCTGGCAGGTCACATAGGCAGAGCACTCCCCAGGAAGGAGGTCCCTGGCGTTAGAAGATTCACCACACTATAGCCCATCAGTTTGTGCCTTCTGAAAGTTGCTTGCTTCAAACCCACCAAGAGTCTGCCTACTTGCTTTTTCTGAAAGTTAACAGTTAAAACTGACCATTCATGACTGTATAATTATATGGAATTGTGCTGAAATGGTAAGAACCCTGTGCTGTTCTACCTCACCCTTTTTGCTTTCGCTTTTTCCGCCCTGCTGGGCTGGGGGAGGTGGCTGGGACACCTAGGCTAACCTGAATAAACCACCTTTATGCCTTAGCACCAACTTCAGACTTGATGATTTTCTGGGGATTTCAAAATCCAGCACACCATCAGGGCAGAACCCTCAGCACATCACACTGGGGCCCTGGTTTGGCATTGGATGGCTGCTCCCCATCCCCGGGTACTAGGGCGGCTGGAGGCTGAGTATGGCTTCTCCCCTTATCTTCTCCCTCCGTCAGAAACAGGAAGAATAAAGTTTGGAAATGATGACCACACCCACTTGCCCCTAACCCTGGATCCTTTCCGTCCTCAACTGTGTTAACATCATGTAAAGTAATAATATAAATAAATCTTTAAACAAACTAAAAGATTAGTGGAACATATCTCCCATTTCATTAAGAGTGCTTGCTCTTGGGCCCAGCGGTGTGGTCTAACGGCTAAAGTCCTTGCCTTGAACGCGCCAGGATCCCATATGGGCCCGGTTCTAGTCCCAGCAGCTCCACTTCCCATCCAGCTCCCTGCTTAAAGCTTTGGGACCCTGCACCTGTGTGGGATACCAGGAAAAAGTTCCTGGATCCTGGCTTCAGATCGGCATAGCATCGGCCATTGCACTCACTGGGGGAGTGAATCATCAGACAGAAGATCTTCCTCTCTTTCTCTCCTCCTCTCTGTATATCTGACTTTCCAATAAATAAATTAAAAAGTGCTTGCTTTTTGCCCAGTTCTGCTCCCAGGGCACAGCCCACTGCAGTCCTCCTTCATGCTGGATCCTCCACCAGACTGAAGCAGGAGCAATATCCAGGCAAAGCCAAGGCAGCTTCAGAGAATCCTAGAGGCAGGAATTCAGGGGAGGCTTTTTAGAGAACATCTACTCACACTCAATTTCTTTAAGATAGACTTATTTATTTATTTAAAAGGCAGATTAGATTTACAGAGGAGAGCCATGGAAAGAGCTTCCATCCACTGCTTCACTTCACAAATGGCTACAGCAGGCATAGCTGAGTTAACCTGAATCCAGGAGCCAGGAGCTTCTACCAGGTGTCCCATGCAGGCACAGAGTCCCAAGGCTTTGGGCCATCCTCTTGAATTCCCAGGCCACAAGCAGGGAGCTGGATGGGGAAGTAGAGCAGCTGTGACATGAAAAAGTGCCCACATAGAATCCTGGCACTTAGAAGGTAAGGATTTAGCCATTGAGCCATTGTACCAGGCCTCTTGAAATTCAATTTTTTCTTTGGTAAAGATTCATTTATTTTTATTAGAAAGACAGCTAGGAAGATCTTCCGTCCGATGATTCGGTCCCCAAATGGCCACAATGGCCAGAGCTAAGCCAATCTGAAACCAGGAGCTTCGTCAGTGTCTCCCACACATGTGCAGGATCCCAGGGTTTGAGCCATCCTCCACTGCTTTCCCAGGCCACAAGCAGGGAGCTGGATGGGAAGTGGGGCCACCAGGATTAGAACCAGCACCCATTTACACTCCTGGCACATGCAAGGCAACGACTTTAGCCACTAGGCTACGACACCAAGCCCCAAATTCAATTAGAATATTTTTAAGATTTGTATTGGAAAGACACATTTACCAGAAGGAGACGTAAAGAGAAAGATCTGTGCACTGACTGACTCCCCAAAGTGCCTGTAATGGCCAGAGTTAAGCTGATCTGAAGCCAGGGGCTTTTTCTGGGTCTCCTACCTAGGTACAAGGCTTTAGGCCATTGTCTACTGCTTTTCCAGATTACAAGCAGGGAAGCAGAGAAGTAGAAATACAAACCACTGCCCATACGGTTTTTCAGGACCTTCAAGTGTGAATTGCACCAGGTACAAACACTCAATGTTTAACAGTCACCTCTCTGGGACTCTGCCCAGTTCACAAATTATCAGAACAAATCAGTTGTTTGATCAGTTATGTCCATTTGTGTTACATGGCCATCTTTTTTAGGTCAAAGAAAAGGATCTTATTACTTGTAGCTCCACCATAACCAGATTAGTATAGGACTTAAATTTCAGGAGCCAGAAATAATGTCCATTATAAAATACACGGAAAATTAAGAAACTATAGAGATATCACTATGAGCATGTTAAGAGGAGAATATGAAGTCTGCAAGTGCCAGATTGTGAGGCTAGTGTCAGACATGCAGCTTAAACCACCACCTGCAATGACAACAACTCTGTGGGTTTGGATTTTGGCTCCCGTGGCTCCGCTTCCAATCCAGCTCCCTGCCAATGCACCTAGGAAAGCAGCAGATGTCGGAGGACTTGGGGCACTGCCACCACGTGCTTCTATCTGACCCATCTATCTACCATTTGGGGGGTGAACTAGCAAATGGAAGTATGTCTCTTTCCTTAAGCTACTTAAAAAAATCGTCAAAGATTACTGTAAAACATCTGATTTGGCAATAGGTTGTAACAAAAGCAGGATATTCTAATAGGGTAAATGAGGGGCATTTTAAAAAGGGACTATGTATAATGGTGTAAGGAAAAGGAAAAATCACCAAGCAAAGCGCCCCAGGGCTGGTGGGAACCGCCATCCTTCACAAGCCCGAGATGGAAAGGATGGTTGTTTGTGCGAAGGGCCACTAGCGGGGCAGGAGCCTCCACCAGCAGTCCACCTAAACCTGCTCTACAAGCAGAAAGGGGGAAATAAGTCACTATACTTTCACCTGTTGGTTATTTCCCACTTAGTGCACCCAGCCAGAGCCAGGGGCCAAGGTGATGCGAGTATCCACAGAAACCACCTTTTCTTCCTGTTGTTTCAGGGATTACGGCAGGCCACAACCCACCTAGACCGTCTCTGGAGATTCCATGCAAATGGTACCAAAGTTGTGTTTCATGGAAAACATCTAACATCCACAGACCTTAGCAGCTCCAAACTGACCAAATCCAAGGTCAGAAGCAGGAAAAATCAAAATAACTTCAGTGGGTCAACTGGTACAATCCTCAGGGGGGAAAGTCCACCTGCACCGCTTAGATCTATCTTTTAAAAGATTATTGGAAAGGCAGATCAAATCTATGGCAAGTGATAAAGATCTCCCATCTGCTAGTTCACTCCTCCAATGACCGCAATAGCCAGAGCTGAGTCCATCTAAGACCAGGAGCTTCCTCGGGGTCTCCACGCAGGTGCAGGGTCCCAAAGCTTTGGGCCGTCCTCCACTGCTTCCCCAGGCCACAATCAGGGAGCTGGATGGGAAGTGGGGCTGTGGGGATTAAACCAGTGTCCATATGGGATCCCAACACACACAAGGTGAGGACTTCAGCCGCTAGGCCCGTGCCGGGCCCAAGTCAGTGCTCTTGACTTCAGCAGTATGCCACCCAGCTCCCCAGGCAACTGTGAAATCCTCACTGTACACTCTAGAGTCCTAGACGGAAAGGCCCAGGTCAACCTAACTTCCATCACGTCCGATCTCACTCCTACTACGCATGGCAATACTGTCAACTCATCATTGTCACAAAAACAAGAGGAGCGTTTACCTGTGACTGGTCACCACTGCAGGTGTCCAACCCAGTCACGGAGCACGGCCCTGTGATGTTGGGACAGCAGAGAAGTGAGGAAGCGGGCCAAGGCCTCTGAGGACCCAGCAGGAGTGGGCAAAGGAACAAGTTCCAGGATAGGGTACAGGCTAGAAGGAATCGGAGGTTTTTGCTCATCCCCGATGGGGAAACCTGTCTGCATTCTCTGGAGTGGAGAACACAGCAGACCCCAAATCCAGATCACACACAGCGTTTAAAAAGCTTCACGGGCAAAACTGACAACCAGGGAACCGTAAAAAGCCTGTCCTCCAACGAATCTCATTTTCCAAGTGGCCATCTGTATGAAATTTCATCTTCATGAGTATGTGCTTTAAAAACTCAAGTTCACATAACCCGATGCCAACTTTGTATATCAAAGTCAACAAGCAAGACAACGACACGAGAAAGACAACATCTAACCTGTCAGGCTTGGCTGCCTAACCACTGCGGTCTCAGCAGAGGCGTGGACCACAACCAATCTCAGCTGCAAGGTAACGCAGCCCGTCACATCTAATTCAAACAAACCAAGACCACTTCGTAATATAAATTAACCCATTTATTACAGGCTGCTGAGAGCTCCAAGATGGCACCTCTACTGGTCTTTCAACTCCTTCAGTCTTCTGATCGCAGACTTGACTGTGACGGCGGAAGTGGTGCTGTGAAGGGAGAAGTCGTGAGCCTGTTAACAAAAGGCAACCGCGCCTGCCCCGCGCCTCCCGGCCTGCGGGAGAGCTCCGCAAAGCCCTGCCGAGGACGACACGCAGCCCGCTCTCGGGGGATCAGGCCCAACACCTAACCGTGCTTCTATTCCCAGCTGGGACACCCCCACTGCAGCTCGCAGCTCCTCCTCCAGGCCTGACCCCCAGCTCCCCACTGCGCCACCTGGCCGAGTTGCCAGCACCCGGGAAGCGGCAGAGTCTGTGCCTGTCGCAGTGGGTACCAGCTCCCGCTTCCAAACGGCCTCCGCTGCCGGAGCGCAGGGATCAACGCAGCGGGGCCCAGCCCAGGGCTCCAGTCCCGAGCCGGCCTCCACGTCCCACGCGCGCCCCACGCGAGCCCCGACGCGGGAGGGCGGGACTCACTTGTAGGTCCAGGCGCCCCCGGCCACCGTCTTCATGCAGGAGCCGCAGTGCCAGATGCCCACGGCGCGCCTCTTCATCTTGGTCTGCGCAGAGAAGGAACGCCCCCGTCACCGTGACGGCTCGGGACACGAGCCCGGGGCGCTTCGGCACACGGTTTCCCAGCCGGGTGCCCCCGGCCCGTCGCCGCCTCCCGCCGCCCGCCCCTCCCGCCGCAGCCCCCTTACTTTGCCGCAGAAGGAGCAGGTGTACTTGGCGTGCTGGCTGATTTCGATCTTCTTCACCATCTTCCGGAGGGAGGCGCCGTAGCGGGTCCCGTATTTACCCACGATCCCGACCTTCTTGGTGCGTTTAGCCTGGGCAAGCCAGCGACATTCAGTGCTGCGCCCCGGACCCGCCACCCCTACCCGGCGCCGTCCGCCTCACTCGCGCCGGGACCCACATCTCCCCGGGATCCCACCTAACCCAGGCGGCGCCCGAGGCCGGAGGGGCCAGCCTCCGCCGGGACCGCGTCCCCGGGACTCCCAGGGAGGCCATGGGACAAGGCAGGCCAGCAGAGGCCAGTGAGGAAGAAGAAACCCAGAAGGAAAGAGCGGATGCCGGGGGATAGCGATCCAGGCCGCACAGGACCCGATTCTCACCATGTCGACGCCACCGAGGTCCGCGCCCAGAGAGGAAGAGCAGCCGTGCGCAGGCGCGGTTTCAGGCGGGCGGGCGGAAGCAGCGCGTGGAGGCCTAGCTAGGAATCGAGCTCTATGGTCTGGAGGTTTTCCCGTTGCCTGCTGGGAAATGGCTGCAGGGAAGGCGGGAGCTGACAGGCCCGGATGCACCTTGCTGCGCCATCCAGCACTTACCTGGGCGTGCTGACGAACAACCGTCAGCTCCTCAGGGACCGGCCTGCACCCTTCGCCTGCATCCTTGCGCTGCGACTCCGCGTCTCACTGCCTCTCCCGCCCCCCTGTCTTTTCTGAAAGCAGCGGATCCTGCGCAGGGTGACGGCAGGTGTCAGGCCGGCTTACTCAGAGAACCGCCACAAAACAAGGCTCAGAGTGGATTCCCGACACGTGTTTTCGAGCCACACTTGAGTCAAGATGAGGAGTGCATGGATATCAGTGCTGCACAGTTTCACTGCCTTTGCTCGGGAGGTGGACAGAACACAGGAGAGAACGCTCCAGAACTATTGGAGGGGCGGGTAAATCGTACAGATCTGGGTTCAAGTCCCGGCTGCACCGCTTTGCTACACAGCTCCCTGCTAATGTGCCTGGGGAAGCGGCAGAATTTGGTCCAAATGTTCTGGTCCTTGCTATGCATATGAGAGATCTGGGTAAAACTCGTGGCTTTTGCCTGGCTCTCCCCCTCTTCCTCTCTCTCCTTCTCTTCTCCCATATTTCTCCCCTCTCTCCCTCTTCTGCCCTCTCTTTCTCGCTTGCTCTCTCTCGGGGCTGGGACACACTGACTCCCATCTTCCACATAAATTGCTGGCATTTACACAGTTAATGTAGCCGGCACAGTTTTAGCTCTGCAGCGTCCTCGCTCGGTGTCGCCCCCTGGTGAGTTGAGTGGGAACTCTTTCTCACACTATCTTTCCCCACGTGTTGCTCTGGCTCAGGCTGTGTAAATCCAAGGAGAAGCAACAAATGGATTTTTTTTCTCGTATACATGCCTGCATTTTCTACTTATCTTCTATCATGAGCATGAATTTCTTTTAACAGAAAAATGTAAAAAAAAACTCCAGTAGCAGCCAGACCTTGGCTTCCACTACCAGATTCTGTAAAAAAAGAAGCATGATAATGACTGTTTATGAAGAATTAAACTGTTGTATTAACATAGGGGGAATCAGTGGAGTAGGGGGAAGGGAGAGCCCAAAACCTATGGAAAGTATCATAAAATAATTTTTTTTTTTAAGTGTGGAGGCTTGGAGAAGAGGCTGATTCCAAGATCATACCAGGAAACACACAAGGTGAGCTTGGCATATCTTACTGTGCAAGAAAGTAAGGACCTCTCTAACAAACCAGGAAACCTTACACGGATGAGGATTTGTCAAAGAGACGTAGGGGCAAGGCTTCCAACACCAAAAGCTGGAGGGAAAAAGTTTAATTTTATTTACTTGAGAAGCAGAGGGGCTGGTGTGATGGCCCAACTGGCTGATCCTTCACCTGCAAGCTCCAGAATCCCATATGGGTGTCAGTTCGTGTCCCAGCTGCTCCACTTCCCACCCAGCTCCCTGTTTATTACCCAGGAAAGCAGCAGAGGACGCCCCAAAGCCTTGGGACCCTTCACCAGTGTGAGAGACCTGGAAGGAGCTCCTGGCTCCTGGCTTCGGACTAACTGAGTTTTGGTCATTATGGTCACTTGAGCGAACCTGATCTTTCTCTCTGTCTCTTCTCTCTGCCTTTCTAACAAAAACAAAGAAATCTTTTAAAAAAAAAAATCCTAATAAAAGAATAAAAGAAAAACAGAGACAAGAGACAGTTCTTCCCCGACTGGCTCACTCCCCAGTTGCCTGTAATGGCTGGGACAGGACACCTAGGGTAACACAGCAGGAGGTTGGGATGAGAAGGGGCAGGACTCGAACACAGGCAGCTGTGTGGGATGTGGGCATCCCAAGCCGCATCTTGACCACAGGGCCAAACACCTGCCTCGCATAGCTGAAAACATGAGTATGATTTATTTATAAACCAAAGTAAAGAATAAATATCCAAGAGTTCACAGTTGGGTGACTTCAGAAATCAGTAAGTGACAAGCAGTTCTTTGCGGTCTCCGCCCTCCAGAAAGGGGTGGACAATTGCCTGTGTCCTAAGTGAGGGCTGTGCCCAGGGACTTCCTGCCAAAATTCAGCTTACACGGGGGAAGGAGTGAGGTTCCTGGGGCTGCAGCAGACATGCCCCCTCAGCCAGGTCACCAAGGCAGCATCCTCAGGGCAAATGTTGGTCAGGTGCATCCATGGGAGGATGGGATAAAGACATCACACCCTCTGTGGTCTCCCTCCCCCAACCCCTAAACATCAGTATATAAAACACTCAACCAGTGTTCCTCAAAGAGATCAAGGCCATCCAAACAAGATGAGTCAGGAATTGTCACTACTGAAAGAATCCCGAGGAGACATGAGAAGGAAATGTCACATGGATGGGACCCTAGAAGAAAGACTTTAGGCAGAAAACAAAATAAAACAAACAAACAAACAACATACACCACTCTACCAGCTCGCTGTTGATGGGCTGGGAAAGTAGCAGAGGGTGGCCCAAGACCTTGGGACCCTGCAACTGTGTGGGAGACCTGGAAGAAGCTTCTGGCTCCTGGCTTCAGATCAGCTCAGTTCCAGCTGTTATGACCATTTAGGGGGCGATCCGGCAGATGGAGGATCTGTGTCTGTCTCTCTCTCCCTCCCTCTCTCTGTGACTCTTTCAAGTAAAAATAAGTTAATATTAAAAAAAAAAACTCAGGGCCCGGCGCGGAGGCGCAAGTGGTTAAGGTCCTCGCCTAGCACGCCCGGGATCCCATATGGGCGCCGGTTCTAATCCCGGCAGCCCCGCTTCCCTTCCAGCTCCCTGCCTGTGGCCTGGGAAAGCAGTCGAGGACGGCCCAAAGCTTTGGGACCCTGCACCCGCGTGGGAGACCCGGAAGAGGCTCCTGGCTTCGGATCGGCAAAGTATCGGCCCGTTGCGCTCACTTGGGGAGTGAATCATCGGATGGAAGATCTTCCTCTCTGTCTCTCCTCTCTGTATATCCGCCTTTCCAATCAAAAAAATAATAAAAATAAATCTTTAAAAAAATAAAAAAATAAAAAAAAAACTCAGATGTAAATACGCTATGGACATCAGTACGCGAAAATGTGACCATATTGTCTCAATAATTCTAACCACATGCAGCCTACTCTGTCTAATATAGGATGTTAATAAAGGGCTTCTACAGAAATCATACCATCTTGATTTATCCAGAAATTTAAAACTTTTAAATAAAAAAATCATTTTTAAAAGTAAGTTTATAGGGCCCAGCGTGATAATGTAGCGGTTGAAGTCCCCACCTTGAAAGCGCCAGGATCCTATATGTGCACCATTTTTAATCCCGGGGACTCTACTTCCCAGCCAGCTCCCTGCTTGTGGCTTGGGAAAGCATCAAGGACAGCCTAAGGCTTTGGGATCCTGCACCGGCATGGGAGACCTGGAGGAGCTCCTGGCTTCAGATTGGCTCAGCTCCAGCTGTTGTGGCCGCTTGGGGAGTGAATCATCAGATGGAAGATCTTCCTCTCTGTCTCTCCTCCTCTCTGTATCCACCCTTCCAATAAAAATAAAATAAATCTAAAAAAAAAGTTACAATTTTAATTGCAAGTCAGAGTTGCAGAGAGATTCTTCAATCTGTTGGTTTACTTCCTTAAATATCCAGGACAGGGCAGGCTAAAGCCAGGAGCCTAGAGTGCCATCTAGGCCTCCCATGGGTAGCCAAGCCCAAGGACTTGGAGAATCCTCTGCTGCTTTTTCAGGCACCTCAGCAAGGAGCTGGGTTAGAAGTGGAGCAGCCAGAACTTCAATGAGCAGCAACCACATGCAGCACAGGCATCGCAAAGAGCTGCTTAATCAGAAGTGATGCAAGACAAGCACCACCATCACCCAAGCCATGTTAACTCCAGGGAGACAGGGCGTCTGTGGCTGACCTCTGCATCCCAGCAGCCAGCACAGAACCTAGGACATCTGTGGTGATGGGTGGAGGGAGAATTGGTACCCAGGCTGCAATAATGGTGACAAAGGCAGGGTGGCAGAGACAGGGAAGGAGAGAAAGATCTTTCATCTGTTGGTTCTTTTCTCCCAAATGCCTGAGAATGCTTAGCTAGTGTTGGGCCAGGCAGAAGCCTGGGGGCTCAGAACTCTAGGCAAGAACTTAGGCCAGGGCCCAGTGTGGTGGCCTAGTGGCTAAAGTCCTTGTCTTGAACGCTCCAGGATCCCATATGGGCGCCTGTTCTAATCCCGGCAGCCCCGCTTCCCATCCAGCTCTCCCTGCTTGTGGCCTGGGAAAGCAGTCAAGGACAGACCAAAGCCTTGGGACTCTGCACCTTGGTGGGAAACCTGGAGGAAGTTCCTGGCTCTTGGCTTCAGATTGGCTCAGCTCCAGCCAATGCGGTCACTTAGAAAGTGAATCATTGGACAGAAGATCTTCCTCTCTGCATATCTGACTTTACAATAAAAATAAATCTTTAAAAACAATAACAACAACACAGAAGAACTTAGGCCAAACATTAGCAGGAAGCTGGACGGGAATCGGAGTCATGGGGACTCGAACCGGCAGTCTGACATGGGATGTGGTTTAACCTGTTTTGCTTCAGTTCCTACTAGTATGAAGGATTGTTTTATATGTTTGGGGTTTTCTGCCGTATAAGCTCAGTCCACATATGTCAGAACTGAAAAAGGCTTTAGAGATCATCTAGCCCCAATTGGAAACTGAGGCCCCCCAGACTCTGGAGGTCAATGATTAGTCCAAGGTCACATGGCCAGCAAGGGGCTTCCAGACTGGAGTTGGTGGTGGTTTTCTTTTTCCTACTTCTTCTTTTTTAAAGATTTCATTTTTTAAATTGGAAACTCATATATACAGAGAGGGGGAGAGACAGAGGGGAAGAGCTTCTGTCTGTTGATTCACTCAAGTGGCCGCAATGGCCAGAGAGCTGTGTCAATCCGAAGCTAGGAGCCAGGAGCCTCCTCCAGGTCTCCCACACA